CACACACACACACACACACACACACACACACACACACACACACACACACACACACACACACACACACACATATATATATATATATATATTTGAAAAACTTATTATTCCGATTGGTTCATATATACACCTCGTTTATTTTGGTTTGTTCATACCCTTATACCTTGGAATAATTTCTATGTTGGTTGATTCAATATGGTGTTGCAGAACTACTTCAACCACGGGCAAGGCGGTGTCTTCTTCTTCGGCATGGTCAACGGTGCCGGGTCAACCATCACGGGCCTTTTTGAAGGAAACAAAGCCACAGAAGGGGGTGTTCTGGTCGCAGATACTGTCGATTGCGACGGTGAACTGACTCTCACAGGTACCTACACTAACAACGCCGCCGAGGACTTCTATGGTCACTGTGGCAGTCGGGGCGGTGCTATTACGGTTAGGAGAGTGGACGGGGGAACGACAGTGACAATCGATGGTATGTACGGGTGATACTGGGCTATGGGAGCGGCGAGGGGTTTGTTAATGGAGCATCATATAGAATGCCCGTTAAATTTTTTGGTACCTGTGTTATGGTTAGTAAACTTAGTATGAACTATACTACCGGTTAGAAAGTGAAGTAGTGGTGTTGACAGTGTCTGTTTCAAGGTCAGTTTATGGGGGCTTCGGGGGCTGCTTTCGGTGCAGTGGGTGGGGCATTCGATATCCTTTAGTAATCTCTGCGTCAACGTGCTCGCCACGCAAACGTTCTTGATCCTGCGTCTGCTCAAATAATAGGGCTATTTAGGATACCATCGGGGTCTTTGAAGGGGCCTTACTATGTGTGGAGTGATTTATTGGGAGCGGTCATTAACGCGATGGTTCACAGCGTCCGCAATGCGTTTTCCGTATACATCGTCAATTTGTTTGCCAATAGTGATTTTTCTTTTCTGGCACGGCAACAATACAAGTACCAACACTCACGCAGCATCTTTTTTTAGCCATTTGCGTTCTAAAAATTGCAACTGCGTTCTAAAAATAGAAACTGTGTCTTGAAATAGAAACTGCGTTCTAAAAATAGCATCTGCGTTTTAAAATAGAAACTGAGTGTTAGAAATAGAAACTGCGTTCCTAAATTAGAAAATGCATTCTAAAAATAGAATTTGTGTTCTAAAAATAGCAACGGTGCGCACTGATATTCAATACAGGAACATTCGAGAACAATATCGGAGGCGTGTTCGGCGGAGTGCTCAGGAATGACCGGATACTCAACAACGCGAGAATTAATCTCTACGGCGACTTCACGGACAACACGGTATGTTCTGAAACAATGCGAGAATCAATCTCAACGATACCCTAAACCCTAAACCCTACCAATCTTGCACGTGCGCTTAAGGGGTTCGTCCAGATGTCGATCTATGTGGCATGCATTGTATCCATTGCATGGATACATGGATTACGGCGTATATAACTCTCATTCACACACCCATACACCACTAACTAGCTCAACAAACCCTAAAACCCTACAGGCTGAGGACGGGAATATAGCCAACATGCGAGTACTCGCCAGCGGTTCCATATTCCACTTCGCGCCATCGAACATTGACACCATCTCTGCGGATGACATACAATTCTCCAGCGATGCATGCACGGATACAAGCACTAAGGAGAACGTGATCACATGTGAGAACTAACCAGCACACTACCCACGGAGACGGTGGCTGTGGACCTGTTTTTAACTTCACCTGGTGCCGTAGATACCACTGCTATCCCATGTATAGGAATAATCAACCAGCACACTACTCACGGGGACGGTGGCTGTGGATCTATTTTTAACTTCACCTGGGGCAGTAGACACCACTGCTATCCCATGTATAGGAATAATTAACCAGCACACGACTCACGGAGACGGTGGATGTGGACCTATTTTTAACTTCACCTGGGGCAGTAGATACCACTGCTATCCCATGTATAGAAATAATTAACCAGCACACTACTCGAGGTGCCTTCGTCACCGCCACACATAGATTATATTTAGGTCGTAGATTGTATATCGTATGTACACGCTACGGGCATCAGAAATTAGGACAAAAAGCGAGTGAAGCAACAAAAAATTAGGACAAAAAGCGAGTGAGATCACCAGAAATTAGGGCAAAAAACGAGCGAGGTCACCAGAAATTAGGGCTAGAAGGGAGTGAGCTGAAGTGACAGTCCCACTCGGGCGTGTTACCAAATTTATATCCAACCACCAAAGGCGCGTGTTCGTCTTGAGCGCTATACAAGCGGCAGGCCATGCATACAGATACATGGGCGTTACAGGCAACCAAACTAAAGTTGTATGTGTCTGATTCAACCTCAATAAGGTTGTATGTGTCTGTATATTCAACCAAACAAAGGATGAATAAGTCTGTATTTAACCTAACTAAGGTTGCATGAGTATACTTTCAACCAAACTCAAGGTTGTACGAGTGTATCTTTAACGGAGCTAAGGCTGCTCAGGTTTCTACTCACACTGTGGGATGCAGGGCACGCCTATAAATCATCCATGTAGATAAATCACCCAAAACGGTAATAAAGCACATTTCCCTTCGTTCTCCACAGTCGAGTATGATTTAACTTCTCTACAACGGCCAGTGTGCTTTCCATATACGTCTGTTTGTGTGAGTATAGTTATGTGGGATATGATCTGTACCAATCTGGACGTCAAATCCGCCTGCCATTATCAATGCGGGGTGAGCGTAGTGTGGTAACAGATGTCGTTACCCAAACTCATATATGCATACATACATACACAAACACAAACACTCACACCCACACACACATATATATATATATATACACACACACACATATATATATACATATACATACATATATACATATAA